GTGTGTGTTTCATCGGGAGGTCTAATCACCAACTGTAACACTTTTTCAGTGGGGAAGGTGTTTAGGATTCCTACTTAGAGTCACACCAGCAGAAAGCACCTCTGAAGAGATAACGGATTTGGGTGGCAAAACCAAACCAGGCTATTTGCAATTAATGAAATTAAAGGAGCTTCTCCTTGAAGGCATCATATACTTTTTTAGGACTAGTAGCAGTGACTCTCTAACAAAAGCTTATAGGGACTCATATACAAGGACCACTCAGTCCCAAGTCCAGTAATATCTAAGTGATTTAGGGCGGTGAGACTGAGCAACACATACATGCAAAAACAACTATTTCATCAACAAATAAAATAAGATAGCATACACAAAAACACCTAACAGTGGCTAGCATAAAACAGATACTCAATAAAAACAAGTTTCTTCCACTCTCTACTCTGAGCTATTTGTACAAAAAAAACAACAAATAACTGCTGGATGGAGCGATAACATCTTCCTTAGTTGGGAAAATTAATGAAATTCTCTTTCTCTCAAACCCAGCCAAGTTGAGTTTGTCTGTTTGGGCCCACATTTGCTAAGAACAACAGGGACACAACCAGCCACATCTCAGAAGTCAGAAGTCTTCTCTTAAGGATTATTTTATTTCCTCCATCATCCAGCAGCACAGCAAGTGGACAACAAGGTATCTTCAAAACAAGTTGTGCTGAGTACAACACAACTCAGCAAAACCACCAAACCGTCACTGCAATCTGCATAACAATCTGCATTCCTCCACTTCTAGGATCACGGAGTGGTCATACACAACCTGGCATATTAAATCATGACTAAATACCTCACACTAGGGCAAATTATTCTTCAGCTATTTCAATGGTTTAACTTTTGAAATGGAATGATCTTTTCCATAAAATATTCTTTCAAGTTAATTCTATCATCTAGATGCTTCTGAGATTCAGACTCTGAGATTAACAATCTCCTACTGTAATTAAAGTTGAGATAGTGTGAAATGGTAATGACTGCCAGAGCAAATACAGTGACAAATTAAGGATCAAATGGAAACCACAGAAGGGACTTTAGGGGTCATGCAACTTAATGCTCTTATTTTACAGAGGAAAGACACTCACACCAAAGAGGTTAGACAACTTGTTCAATATTACACAGCTTATTAATGACAAAATGAGGGTTTTTTTAAAGCCCCAAGCCTACTGATGCCTTCTGGGCCAGCCTGACCTCTCTCTAATAATAATAACTATAACTTATCAGGTAAATACAATGTGCCAGGTGTTGTACTAAAGGTTTTACATATGTGATCTCATTTAATCTCACCACAATCCTATGAGACAGGCATTATCAAACCATTTTCTAAATGAGGAGACCAGGATTCAAACCTAAGTCTGTCTGATGCCAAAGTCTTGATTTCGCCACTACAGTATGCCTTTCTACTTTCCATTCATTCATTCATTCATTCATCAAATACTCGCTAAGCAAGTACAAAGGGTCAGATATTGTCTCAGCCTTAGGGATACTAGTGATGAAGACAGACAGGGCCCCTGCCCTTCTGGCACTTACGGTAACAAGTGAAAAAAATAAGCACTTTGGGTATGACTGATAAGTGTTGCGGGAGAAAAAATCAGTAATGTGAATAACAACTACAGACACTATTATGCTACCAATCACATAAGAAAACACTGAAAATGTAAATATTACCACTTTATACCCATTAGGATGTCTACCATGGAAAAAAAAAACAACCCAGAAAATAACAAGCATTGATAAGAATGTGGAGAAATTGGAACCCTTGTGCACTGTTGGTAGGAATGTAAAATGAAAGTGAATTTAATCTTAGGTAGTGAAATGACTAAACAAGATTCTGAATCCTTCAAAGATAACAGGTATTTGAAACAGTATATTCTGAAGGGCAGGTAAACTAGTGTCCTTTTTCTTTAGTATATTAATTCTAGCACAGGCATAAGTAGGAACAATTTTAATCAGAGAAATCTGTCAATGAGGATAATAGAGCTTTCCAAATTAAAATAAACTATCAAGATTACACACGTATGCAACTCCAGTGGCCATTTCTTTTTTCCTCATTCTCACATTCCTGTTAAATTTCTTTCAGTCAGTTCCTCTGATATCTCAGCACAGAGACAAACTCTGACTATTGCACAGGTAAAGGCAGTTCATTAAGCTCTCTTACTGGACTCAGATTGCTGCTGCTGGAACTGCCTCCTCTTAAGTTTCTGGGCTTTTATCAGATAGAAGCAGCTCTTAATCTCCCTGGCTTCCTTTTCAGGGGACTGTGCCAAGAAAAGGCAAAGGAGAAAAGACCGAGGTCCACAGTTATCTAAAGCACTGTACTTTTATCCATTATGGATTGTGAGCTGCATGTTATTCACCTTCAAGCTAGAATGTACCATCAATCTTCTTTATTAAACCTGCTTGGTTCAGATCTTATATTAGATACATGAGAGAAAATGGTAGAGCC